ATTTCTATAAAAATATAAGAAAACTATTATATAACCGGTAATTTGATATTAATATATGAAATATTGAGTTTTGAACTCAAATTGCTTTTTTCACCTTCTTTTCTTTAACTTAAAATGGCCTATATAAAAGTTAAATAAGATTAGTTACAACGCGAATCGAATGCTTTTTTAAATCGCAGATTCTAACATGTACGTTTACATGCACATTCATTCATCATTTTCTTCAAAGCTTTTCCAAAACGATTAGAAGAAATTGCAGAATAAAGATAACTGTTATTTTAAAATTTTACTCTATCAAAAGTTAAGTTATATATATATATATATATATATATATATATATATAATTATTCCAAAATTTAATGCAAAATGAAAGCAATGACAATGAAAATCTTTATGAAAAACTCAATTTGTGTATAAACATGTTATTAAAATACTGCTTAAAATAGAAGTAAACGTAATATTGAACGTAATGTTTATTTGAGAAATATATACACGTAAATAATTTTTAATTAACTAATTTATGTTAAACATTTTGACACCAAATAACCGAAAATAAACAGACTTTTGTAATTGTTCAATCGTTAGTCACAGCAGCATAATTTCATCGAAAGGATCATTATTAAGATTCATGACATTGACCATCACATCTTCGGCGTTGATGGCTACATATAAATAACGCAAGACATATCGAAATATCATTCACTTCGCAGTGTTCTAACAAGCAACATGAAACTTGTAAGAGTTTATAGAGCGTTGATTTATAAACATTTGAATTAATTGATTAAATTTCAATTTTCTTTCTTATAGTTATTAGTTGGTTTATTCGTCGCTGCCTGCTCGGCCGCTCGCCTGGAGAACAATTACTTACCCCCGAACCATGCATCTTCATCAGGGGGCAATGGCAAATTCTTGGCAGCTCCTTACGCCGCCGCCGGTGCTCCAACAACTCCTCCTGTTGCCATCTTGAAGAGCGTTAACGAGAACAACGGCGATGGAAGCTACAACTACGAGTAAATTTATAATGAGGACATCTAACTCTTTAAGTTAATATATTTATTCATTATCTGATTCGTTTAGATACCAATCTGAAAACGGCATAAACCACCAAGAGTCTGGTCACTTGGAAAACCAGGGAAGTGAAAACGAGGAGCAAGTAGTCAGCGGATCTTACTCCTACACTGGTCCTGATGGCAACGTCTACACCGTCCAATACCGTGCCGACGCCAACGGCTTCCAGGCCTTCGGAGACCACTTGCCCACCGCTCCTCCAGTACCAGAGGCCATCTTGAAATCCTTGGAGCAGAACAAAGCCGAAGAAGCCAGCCAAGCCAGTCAACAATATTTACCACCTAACAAAAACAGCAATAGCGGATACCATTATTAGATTACAATAATAATTTTCAATTTTTTTGTAAATAAGAATATAATAAAATTTAATAATTATGTATACGCATATATTTTTTTTAATCAAACAACTTGATTGGTAGTAATACTATATAATATTAATCATGCATTATTATATATACGAGGGGCATGTAAAAAATAAGGTTCCCAACGCTGTAGTCTCGCCGCGCGAGATTCTAGGGGAAATCCGGCAACACTATTTTTATTGTTGATCCTTGCCACTCCATTCCAACTACCTGGGAGTTTACTGCAAAGCTTAGTGCCAATCTAACAGCCATCCGCGACGGAGCGCGCAATCGCCGTCACCGCCAGGTGTAAAATCCGTTCAGTCAATCGATTTTTAAACGCGAAGAAGCTTACGCCTATTGAAATTCATAGATCTCCGAAGGACGCACAGACGTTCACGACGAGCAAAGAAGCGGGAAGCCTTCGAGTTTTGGGACCAAAAATGTGTCTTGCTTACCGAGTTAATGCTTAAAGGGTCCACTATAAATTCGGACAAGTACTGCGAGACACTAACAAAACTTAAAAAAGCCATCCAAAATCGCCGGAGAAGAAGACCGAGCAAGGGCGTGGAGGCTTTTACATAGTTTATATATTATTTATAATTTAATTTTTCCGAAGCAAAAACATCTTTTTTTCTCAATAAAACTTCTTAACGTTCATAAAAACGTTGTAGCTCTCAAATAAAATTTTTTACATTTAAAAAATATTTTGTTTCTTAAGAAATATAAAAGATGAACCTTTACAAATAATTATTGAATTGTGATCAAAACTTTATAAGTGAAACATGATATGAAAATTGAAATTCAAATTAATTTCATTACTGATTTTTCTGCATTTAATCAAGTCCCTTTTTTTCTAACTTTTCGAAATAATAGTTTGTTTTTGCCAGAAAATATGACCCGTTAATTTTATGTTTCTTGACGTTTTTGAACATTTCCTTATGATTAACTCTATGATATACATCAAATTGTAGTATAAGAGAGTCATTGAGTACATAGTTTATATTCATTAATAACATTCATTATATTCATTTTGATATTAATTGCTATATTAATATGAAATAATAATAATTAACACCTACAAGTATTTATTGTGATATAAAAGTACTCAAGTTTATTACAATACGTTATAAGACTTAATCTAATGATATGATAGATAATCTAACTATTATCTATCATACTATTATATTATACTGAACTATTATTTATCATAAATAACACTGCGCGATACTAATTTTTTTTCCTAAGATAGTATGATGGTTTTTAAGTAACTTTACTCTGATTCCGAAAACAGTAACAAAAATGTAACAGCTCTAGTTGAGATATTCCAATATGCTAGTTTTAACTTAAATTATAATAAAAAACAACATATTTCATATTATGCCTTCAAAAGTCTTTTTATATGATTTTCCAGCATGGTCTGACTGATTTCGTCATAAGCTCCAACAATTATCAGTCATCATGTGGATGTCCAACCTTCCTTGATATCGCTCCTCCAAAATCCTGACGTCTTGGTGAATTCACTTGCTCTGCTCTTCGCTAATATCTCCAAGATTTTCCTAAAAACCGTTTTGAATAAGAGTGCGGGTAATGAATTCAAATCAATTACATCAAATATATCAGTTTTTATTTCATCATGTCTTCTCTTTTAACGTTGATTTCTACATCCATTTACATGGTAGGCAGAAGAGATTGATGTTCTAGGTTGTTCATCATTAGCATGGATAGGGTGTATGTAGCTGATCATAAATAGACCTCAATACCATTGGGGTTGTGGCTTATGACTATTTGCTTCTATTGCTTGATTTTTTTTCAATGGTATTTACCACACAGAAGAAACAATCGTCGTGGTGATTGTTGGATAATTTTTCATATAGTATGAAGAACCGATGTTTTATTTTTATTGCGCTATTCAGTTTTGAAGTGGTTGAAATGCCCTGTCTTCACACAGTTTGACATAGATTTTCCGTATTTGCCGAAAACATATTCGCCACAGATGTATCAAAAACTATCTGGATTATGCACACAACGTCTTACAGTTGAAGCGATTCCGAAAAGTAGATAAAACTCTCAGTTATTCGTTAAACTGCGATAATCATAGCTGACATGACTAATTGGGGTAGTTCCCTATAACTAAAAAACTATAGCTGTTACCGAAAACGAAAGGTATATTTGAAATAAGCGTGCAATTCTAAGCATATTAAAAAAATTTGAGAAAAAAATAAAAATTCCATTTTTATCGTGCAGTTAATCTAATAACTATTATCTATTATACCATGCGATACCTATACTATCAATTCATATTTCAGTAGAACCTCGATTAACCGGACTAATTGTTGTCGATAGGCATTCGGATAATCAAAAATCCGGATAATCGAATGTATGAAAAATAATGTTGTGTATTTATTAAAAATTACAAATACATTCATAGATATCAATGAAAATCATGTCTACTACTAATTTAAAACTTTCTTATGTATGTACATATATATTTTCTAAGATTACATTACACACACACACATACTCGTACATATTTATATATATATATATATATATATATATATATATACTATACTATATAGTAGGATTAGTCATGCAAAAATTGTATGTAAAATTGAATTGTAGGCATGTACATGCATATAAATTGGTCGCGATTGGTAGTCCGAATAATCGCGTATTCGTATAACTGAGGTCCGGATAAACGAGGTTCTACTGTTTTTGCTTATTAACTTATCATATATGAATAACATATACCCTACATACTTTTTTATTTGTTATAAAACTTACTTTTTATTATTCATATGCTATATTTTTACCTTACGCCCTATACTCTATTATATATTTTCTCTACTTATCTATTCCGAATACCGGGGAAAAAACTCGGGGCCTCCGCGAGCCAATTAATAATATATTTAAGGACGCACTGTTTTTTCCACGGTTCCTTTACTAATGAATTATTTAATACGTATAAGAAATGTATAGATTTAATTTATAAATATTCTTTCTTTTATAGAAATATTTATTTATCTTGGTATTAAATATCTAGGCTATCGAAAATATCTGCCATTACATTCAAATCACCCAAAGCGAATGGGTTAAAGTCGTGTCATTTTTTAATTTGTAAACAGCTTGTGTGTTTAATCACTTGAATAAACTAAAAATAATTTAAATCTCATTAAATTACATTATATGTTTCAATAATCATTTTTTCACTGTATTTTATAAATTATTTCTAAGCCGACTCTCCAATATTTTTCGAATGCTCTTATTTTCTAACCACTAATATTATTTTTTTTATAGTTAGATATATTGCACGGAAGGTAAATAATGCAATTTAAACAAATCGTAAATAAAATGTTCAAACAAATTTATTACAAAAATTAGTAATATTCAAATTGATTCATTTTTATTTGCAATGTTGTTTCAGCTAATACTTGATATTTGCAGTAAAATGTAATCTAATTGATTTAAACAGGTTTTGAGATTCAGTCTAATTAAATGATTGTTTAGAAGATAAAAGTGAATGAATATTGATACGCAGCCTAATTATATTACGCTTCTATGGCATTGACCATAACATCTTGGACAAAGATGATGGCACTCGTATATAAACGCCGTGAAATATTCGTTCAGCATCATTCACTTCAGTGTTGTTTAACAAGCATCATGAAATTAGTGAGTTTGCTTAAAATATTGAAACATCATCAATATAATAGCAACAATTAATATTAAGCTTAAATACTTTAATTAAATTATTTCAGTTTTTAATAACATTGTTGGTCGCCGTGTGCTCGGCCGGACGTTTAGAGAATAATTACTTACCTCCTAATAATGCTCCCACTTCTGGAGGCAACGGCCAATTCCTTACAGCTCCTTCTGCAGCAGCAGCAGCAGAAGGCCCAGCGACTCCACCAGTGCCGATTTTAAAAAACGTGAATGAAAACAACGGCGACGGAAGCTACAACTTTGAGTAATTATTAAAATTTCATAACAACTTCGAATTGTTTATACAAGTTGAAATTTATCTGCAATTTTTACAGATATGAAACCGGCAATGGCATAAACCATCAAGAGTCTGGTCACTTGGAAAACCAGGGAAGTGAAAACGAGGAGCAAGTAGTCAGCGGATCTTACTCCTACACTGGTCCTGATGGCAACGTCTACACCGTCCAATATCGTGCCGACGCCAACGGCTTCCAGGCCTTCGGAGACCACTTGCCAACCGCTCCTCCAGTACCAGAGGCCATCTTGAAATCCTTGGAGCAGAACAAAGCCGAAGAAGCCAGCCAAGCCAGTCAACAATATTTACCGCCTAACAAAAACAGCAATAGCGGATACCGCTATTAAATAAATAATTTAAATTATTGTACATATAAGTAATATAATATTAAAATAATTTCATTTCAAATGTAATTTTACAGCGTATTATGTACATTTCATAAGAAAAAATAAACAAACGTAGATAAATTGTACATGTTTTGTATAAAATTTAAAACAATAATTCGTTATATTTAAATTAATATATATATATATATATATATATAACATATATACAACAATAAAAAACATGAATTTTTTTCAAAAATTTATTTTAAATCTTCTTCTTTTTTAACTATTTATAACAATAAAACAATAAATCAACGGAATGAATGAATTTTCATTGATGTTATGCCCGATTACTAAACTTTGTTAATACATATGTCAACATCAAATTCAGAATCATACAATATATATATATATATATATATATATATATATATATATATATATATAGCCCCAAAAGGCAGCCGCTTGCGTGCGGTGCACACTGGCCAGGCACGGCCCGTTGCATTTTTTCAGTGTGTAATTAATCGAAATGGTCCATTATTCCAAACTTCAGTAAATAATAATTAACTTTTCATAAGCCCATATAATTTTATTTATTCATTAAAAATTTGAATGAAGTTTAATTAATTACGAAGAAAAGGCCTGGCAGATCTTTATCAAAAACAAATCATCAGGAAATCTGGTGCACTACAATTACAGATATAGTAAGTTTGCTTGAAAGATATAAAACAGAAATTGCATTGATTAGTTTTTAGTGAAAGCTAAAACAATTTTTCCAAATAAAAAAAAATTATATCGAAATTCTTTTTGATGAAGTCGATTATTTAAACGCAAAGTTCATGCAAAACGCCTTAAGACAGAATGCCACTTACAACTAGTTTACTTCTACATATCACCAAAATATCAAATTTAATATAATAAAAACATGGTTTAGTAATTTAAGAAAACAAAAAAGAAAATGAACTATTCTTAAATTATATAATTCAATAAATAAAATAATTATATTTAAATAAAAAAATATTATTTATTTTATATTTAATAAAAATATTATATTTAACAAATACTATAATTCAATAGAAAGCACTAATATATTTATATGTAGGTGTATGAATTGATGGTATCTGACGTGGGAAAACATGCCGTGCCAAACTATATACTGATCGACCCATAGCGACTAGTAAATAATTTGAATAAAACTCTGTATCAATCAAGTATTGCGTATGTGTTATCCGCTAAACAGCACTGCTAGAAGTTTTTCTTTTTTGTTACACACACACACACATATATATATATATATATATATATATATATATATATATATATATATATTTATATCTTGTTATTATATTTATTTATAGAAATAGAAACAAATATTGGAAATGTAAAATACCCTTAGAGTAGAAAATCATGAGCAGAATTATGTATATAAAATGCAGACAAGCAAACACGCATGCACATAAATACCTTTTCCAAACTTGGTCTTGAACGTTTCAGAATGACTAGATACGCCTAGAAAACAAATGTAGGAAGTCGGATTTTCTGGCAAAAACATAATCTTTTCCATGGAACAGTTAACAAATTTGTCAAAAAATATTTGAAGATATCACGCTTAAATTAAGAAAAACTTATGGATACATTTAACACATGACATTACTATATTTGGCACTCAAGTTTATACAAAATGGGTTATAAAATATAATTTTTTTTACAAAACATACATTTAAAAAAAGTATTAATCTATTCAATAATGGTATCCGCTATTGCTGTTTTTGTTAGGCGGTAAATATTGTTGACTGGCTTGGCTGGCTTCTTCGGCTTTGTTCTGCTCCAAGGATTTCAAGATGGCCTCTGGTACTGGAGGAGCGGTTGGCAAGTGGTCTCCGAAGGCCTGGAAGCCGTTGGCGTCGGCACGATATTGGACGGTGTAGACGTTGCCATCAGGACCAGTGTAGGAGTAAGATCCGCTGACTACTTGCTCCTCGTTTTCACTTCCCTGGTTTTCCAAGTGACCAGACTCTTGGTGGTTTATGCCGTTTTCAGATTGGTATCTAAACGAATCAGATAATGGATAAATATGTTAACTTAAAGAGTTAGATGTCCTCATTAGAAATTTACTCGTAGTTGTAGCTTCCATCGCCGTTGTTCTCGTTAACGCTTTTCAAGATGGCTACAGGAGGAGTTGTTGGAGCACCGGCGGCGGCGTAAGGAGCTGCCAAGAATTTACCATTGCCCCCTGATGAAGATGCATGGTTCGGGGGTAAGTAATTGTTCTCCAAACGAGCGGCCGAGCACACGGCGACGAAAAATCCGACTAATAACTACAAAAGTTCAATTGGGTTTATTCTCAGCAAAGTCTTTTATAGATATCATACTAAACAAACTTACAAATTTCATGGTGCTAGTTAGAACACTATACAGTAAATGTCACTTCATAGATGCTTTACAACGTATTTATATGTGATTGTCAATGTCAAAAATCTCTATTAGGTAAATTCCAATTAATTTGTAAAGTCAATTATCTGAATAGATATAACTTATTAGGATTGTGACAATTTAAGAATTGAATATAAAATTAGATAATGCGCGCACTAGATGCTGAAGTCGTAAAAATGCTAAAAAACAAAAAATACTATTATAACTAGCGCTTCTATTTCGTAACTTATTTGAGTCAACCACCTAAATATGACTTTCAATAATCTTATAATTCCTTGATATACCTATACTTGAAATTTATAGTAATTATTATACGTTCTAAACATTTTCATATAATTTTTAACTTCCCGTAGGGTAAGTTATTGTAATGAGCCGAAAATCGGAATTGAAAATTTTTACATTTCTCGACGTTTTGAAGGTTTCTGAACATTTTGGCACACCTCAGAAAAAATGGATGTGTGTGTGTGTGTATGTATGTATGGATACAAATTTCCAGTCACGTTTTCGGGCGCACGGATCAACCGATTTGAATGGTTCAAAAAACATTCGATTTCTATTGATAGGGAAAAGAGCTGATTAGTTTTTGGCAAAGGCAGGCCCAGCCATTTCGAAGATACGGAGCTAAATATGTAAAAAAGGGCAGTTTTTGAGAGAACTGAGCGTCCGATTTAAATGATTCAAAGAACTTTTTGCTTTTCTTAATAAAATAATTGATTTAAATAAAATTTGTTTAAACTTTTTTTTTTTAATTTTTTGTATATCGAAAATAATTCAGATTTTATTTTTAATTCTGACTATAGTTCTAATATACTTTACAAATAATTTCAACTTTGCAATTCAGTTTATATAATTCTTATAAATATTAGGCAATGTTAAAATATTTATAATAATTTATTTGAAAACATTCAGTATTCGTAGTACGGGAAGTTCCAGAAATTTGCTTTAAGGCACGATGCCATAATTGCCTCAAGACAGAATTCCACTTACAGCTTGTTTTAATTCGAAATAATACTGCATATTATATGAAATTTGCAAGTCTGAATAGTCTCAAAAACGTTTTTCGACAGATATTTCTTATTTTAATTTCTTCTTAAATTTATTTTACAATAATTGATATGGTATTATATTTATTAATACATTTCATATTTCATTGTCCATTTTCATTTCACTTAACATTAAATTTTACTAATTGATTTGCATGTTCAAAAGTTCGAAATGGTAAAAGTTAAAAATAAATTAATTTATTTTTATTTATTTATCTAATAATAGATACGTGAATACGTTTAATTAATATAATAGTATTAATAGGATAGATAGTAATTAAATAATTTGATCAACCAACGCTATAAAAGAATCATTTTTCGATCTACTTTTCTTTGACATTGACCATGTCGGTGTTCGTGGAGTTAGCATATAAATATCACATATGATCCGAGCAGAATATCATTCACATCGTTGTGTTTTAACTCGCACCATGAAATTTGTAAGTATGAGATCCACAAAGAATTAATTTTTTAAATTACGTATTTTAATAAAAAAAAATCGATGCAATTGTTGTAGTTATTAGTCGGATTTTTCGTCGCCGTGTGCTCGGCCGCTCGTTTGGAGAACAATTACTTACCCCCGAACCATGCATCTTCATCAGGGGGCAATGGTAAATTCTTGGCAGCTCCTTACGCCGCCGCCGGTGCTCCAACAACTCCTCCTGTAGCCATCTTGAAAAGCGTTAACGAGAACAACGGCGATGGAAGCTACAACTACGAGTAAATTTCTAATGAGGACATCTAACTCTTTAAGTTAACATATTTATTCATTATCTGATTCGTTTAGATACCAATCTGAAAACGGCATAAACCACCAAGAGTCTGGTCACTTGGAAAACCAGGGAAGTGAAAACGAGGAGCAAGTAGTCAGCGGATCTTACTCCTACACTGGTCCTGATGGCAACGTCTACACCGTCCAATATCGTGCCGACGCCAACGGCTTCCAGGCCTTCGGAGACCACTTGCCAACCGCTCCTCCAGTACCAGAGGCCATCTTGAAATCCTTGGAGCAGAACAAAGCCGAAGAAGCCAGCCAAGCCAGTCAACAATATTTACCGCCTAACAAGAACAGCAATAGCGGATACCACTATTAAATAAATAATTTAAATTATTGTATAAGTAATATAAAATTAGTATAATTTCATTTTAAATGTGATTTTACAGCGTATTATGTACATTTCATAAAAAAATAAACAAACGTAGATAAATTATGTATGTTTTATATAAAATTTAAAATAATAATTTGTTATATTTAAATTAATATATATATATATATATATATATATATATATATATATATATATATATACATGGTCTCCCAGACCTTGATGTCACACCGAAATGGGGTAACAGTATTGACTTTAACTTGACTGCCCTAAAAAAAATTAAAAAAAAAAACTCACGTTGTTTGGAGAATATACGCTCTTAAGTGCGACTTAGAGGTTTGGTAAAACTATCAATTTGGTGAAATTGTAGTGAGTTTCTACTAATTTTGTTCATTTAAACTTAGGAACAGTAACTGTGAATAATATTTGTAGGACCACAATCATAAACAATAATACAATCGCTCCAAGTTTCAAAAAATACTACTTCTTGTTAAACTATGAATTTAAAACTTTTCAAATCGGTCGACTTTAAAAAAAATGTACTAAAGTGTGATGGCAAGTTTTATCAAAAGCTGACACATCGAATCAGGATTGTAAATTGTTAAAATACTTGATAAATTTACTGAATTATTATTAAATAATTCTTGTAAATATTAGCAATGTTCTTAATTAACTTCCCGTAGGGTAAGTTATAGTAATCGCAAAAAAATCGAAAATGAAAATTTTTATATATTTACGTTTAAAAGGTTTTTGAACATTTTGGCATACCTTAAAAAAATGGATGTATTTGTGTGTATATGCGTGCGTATGTGTGTGCGTGTGTGTGCAGATTCAAATTTCCGTCGACGATTTCGGGAACACAAATCAACCGATTTGAATAATTTAAAATTTGTATTGATAAGGCCTAGCCGATTTGAGGATACGGGCCAAAAAGAACTAAAAATGTTAATCCAGTTTTCGAAAGAACAAAGCGTCCGATTTAAATGATTCGATAAACATTTTACTTGTATTGACAAAATGAACAACTGGTAAAATTTTTGTATAGGCAGGTCCAGCATCTCTGGAGATCCAATAAAAAAAAGTATAAAACAACGCCATTTGGCGGTCAAAAATGAACATTAGACAAATGTACATCGTATTATCGGATATTCCATAAAGATTATAATAAAAGTACAAATGTTGTGTACATTTATATGGGTTCCGTACCAATGTTTACACGTTAGACGACTACGCGGCGCTTACGCGCTTTGATATTTCGAATCACCTATGCAGCGCAATTGCTTAAAAGAAGTTCAATATTTTCAAAAAACAAAAAAATCAAAATATAAAAAGGTTCAAATTTTTCAAAAGTTTCAAAATTTATAAATATTTTGAATATAACTCTGTATCAAGTTATCCAACAAGTATTGTCTATGTATTGTCTTGCAATTTTTCTCCTTCCTTATACATTATTGGTTATTTTATTATGCTTTTTTCTAAAAAAAAAACACGTAGCTGTATTTTTTTTTAGAAAACTGCTAACAGTTCTTCTTTTCTGTTACATATATATCTTGTTATTTCAATTATATTTATTTATAGAAATAGAAACAAATGTTGGAGATGTAAAATACCCTTAGGATAGACAACCATGTGTATAATTATATATATGCACAGGCAAACAGGCATGGACATAAATACTTTTTCCAAATTTGATCCTAAACGGTTTAGAACAGTGATTCCCAAACTTATTTCACCAACCGCCCTCTTTCGAGAAAAAATATTACTCAGCGCCCCCCTATTTTTTTTTCATTTCAATAGCAATTAATAAGGTATATAAAAATTATTGTATGTGTACAAGATAAATTAACGAATAAAAAACCAATTTTGATAGTGTAAGCTATTTTAATAAATCATAAAACATTCGGAAAAAATGCACCATCAGTTAATTTCAAATGTTCTAGGTCCGCAAGCCACTGTATTGAATTTTTCAGATATATTACGGATATATTTGTAATGAAATGCAATTGCAAATGGTACATCACTGCTGACGGAAAGGTTTTGCAAAACATTTGATGATTTATTTATTAAAATGATGGACGTTATCAAAATTAATCCTTTACTCTTTCAAAAGAAGGTTGTAAAATAACATCAAAGTTTGAAATTATAAAACTATATTCAGAATAAATATACAATCATTATAATTTTAATGTGAGGGATGAATCTAGTTTGCTGCTACCAATTTAGCAATTTTCGTTTCTATCTTCGTCAAATGTAATCTTAAATCACCACGATCGACTATAAGTAATCGGTTTCTTTTTTTTGTTAATAAAAAAGTCACAGCGCTGAATCCACGTTCCACTAATGATATAAGTATGATGACGGAAATGCAATCATAAATTTTTCAATGACAGACCAAATTTGTGGGTAAGCCGTTGGCATCTCTTTTTGCAGCCAGAACTGTTGGTAGCTATTTCAGAATTTAAATTTCAATTCTTCATTTGCTATTATTTCCATCAATTCTTTTTGTAGCTTTTATTTATTTTACAAAACACGGTAACTCGGGTGGACAGTTACGGGTAGATATCAAAAAAATATAATTAATAGCGAGGCAAGTAATAATCATATCCGTCACATCTTCTCTCTCTCTACAGAATCTCTTACAGAATTTGGTAAAGTTACACGCGTTGAAAAGTTACACAAATTGTCGAATCACAAAGAAAGTGTGAACCATCGTTTTCAGAAAATTCTGATAAAAAATTAAAATATTTTAAATCTTTGTAATTATAGTAATGTTTGCGCACCATTTCTTGCACATACACATTTAAACATTTAAATTTTGACAAAGATCATAACTTTCGTTTGGCGGGACAAGCATTGCGCAATTGGACTATGCCAATTTAATTTTAAAGAAGTAAATACTAAGAAAATTTAAAAAGTTTCAGTTTTAATAACCTCAATAGAGTAATTGCAAATTACATAATATATTTTTATGATTGCAACATTGATTGCGAAACGAGACAAACGCTTTTTTGCAACTTTACAAGCTTTTATACAACAAACAGATCACTCGCGTTTATGAAGATGCTTTAGATCCTTTCAATCTATCACGTGGCCCATTTTTAATTATACGACGAGTTAACTGACGTATTGCGTAATCATTGCTAATTATGTTATCACTAAGAATAATAATAAATTCTCAATTTTGATTTAAGTCAGCATTAAATTATGATTCAGGGCCGACAGTGACAAAGTCGGCATCAAAAGAAATTAAAATATTTTTTTTACTAAAATGGGATTTGTAGTACTGTTAACTAATGTATTATAAAATTATTTATGTCATATATGTTTGGAAAATTTTAACTAAAATATTATCTTTATATATAGTGTTAATGTTAATCATTTATTTATATATAATATTAATGATATATTTTTTTACTTTTGTGCTGTAAGCGCCCCCTACAACTAATCATCGCCTTCTAAGTGCTCCAAAGCCCATCACCCTGGATCGCAGCAGCGCCACCAAGGGAGCGCTGGCGCCCACTTTGGCAACCACTGGTTTAGAATGACTAGAAACGATCAGAAAACATGAATGTAGAAAGTCAGATTTTCTGGCAAAAACAATCTTTTCCTTGAAAAAGTTAATAGGTAAAAAAATATTTAAAAATATCACACTTTAACTAAGAAAAACTTATAGATTCATTTAACACATGACTTTACTATATTTGGCACTCAAGTTTATACAAAATAGGTTATAAAACATAATTTTTTCTACAAAACATATATTTAAAGAAAAAAAGTATTAATCTATTCAATAATGGTATCCGCTATTGCTGTTTTTGTTAGGTGGTAAATATTGTTGACTGGCGGCTTGGCTGGCTTCTTCGGCTTTGTTCTGCTCCAAGGATTTCAAGATGGCCTCTGGTACTGGAGGAGCGGTGGGCAAGTGGTCTCCGAAGGCCTGGAAGCCGTTGGCGTCGGCACGATATTGGACGGTGTAGACGTTGCCATCAGGACCAGTGTAGGAGTAAGATCCGCTGACTACTTGCTCCTCGTTTTCACTTCCCTGGTTTTCCAAGTGACCAGACTCTTGGTGGTTTATGCCGTTTTCAGATTGGTATCTAAATGAATCAGATAATGAATAAATATATTAACTTAAAGAGTTAGATGTCCTCATTATAAATTTACTCGTAGTTGTAGCTTCCATCGCCGTTGTTCTCGTTAACGCTCTTCAAGATGGCAACAGGAGGAGTTGTTGGAGCACCGGCGGCGGCGTAAGGAGCTGCCAAGAATTTACCATTGCCCCCTGTTGAAGATGCATGGTTCGGGGGTAAGTAATTGTTCTCCAAACGAGCGGCCGAGCACACGGCGACGAATAATCCGACTAATAACTACAACAATTGAATCGTATTTTTTTATTAAAATACGTAATTTGATAAATTAATTCTTTGTGGTTCTCATACTTACAAATTTCATGGTGCGAGTTAAAACTCAACGATGTGAATGATACTCTGCTCAGATCATATGTGATATTTATATGCTAACTCCACGTACACCGCCATGGTCAATGTCAAAGAAAAGTAGATCGAATAATGATTCTTTTATAGCGTCGGTTGATCAAATTAATTAATTACTATCTATCCTATTAATACTATTATATTAATTGATCATATTAATGTATCTATTATTGGATTTACAAATAAAAATAAATTAATTTATTTTTAACTTTTACCATTTCTTATTTCTGAACATGCAAACCAATTAGTAAAATTTAATGTTAAGTGAAATGAAAATGGACAATAAAATGTATTGATAAATATAATACCAAATCAATTATTTAAAAAAATAATTTAAGAAAAAGTTAATTAAAATAAGAAATATCTGTCGTGAAACGATCTTCAGACTATTCAGACGTGTAAATTTCATATAATATGCAGTATTATTTTAAATTATAGAAATTATATGAAAATGTTTAGGACGTATATTAATTACTATACATTTCATTTTCATAA